ATATATATATATATATATAAACTTAAGTGTTCATCATATTCGTCACCTCAGTTTTTAATATTTCCACGCCTTTAAATCGGTATCCACCAAGGCAGTTTTCTATGTGCAGGGACAAGTCAATAGCACATAGGTCAGGCCTGTAAGAAGGGTGATCGAACTACTGTACTTTTCAATTCTTTCAAACGTTCGAGCAGCCGTGCGAGGTCTTGGGTTATCGTGAAGGACGAATCAGGAAAGCAATTTTCCTCCTCGGCGGTTTACAATGGTACGCCTGATCGTCGTGTTTCGCAGTGCACCTCTGTTGTAATTGTATCTGGTAAGAGACGTCCACCAGATGAATTTCTTCCTCGTTCCTAACGACTTTTGCCATGATTTTCTGGAATGAAAAGCTTTGCTAAACTTTTTCGGTCTCGGTGTATGTGAATGCAACCATTGCATGGGTTGCTGTTTTCTTACATTGTTGAGATAACGGACCTTGTTTGATCTCGCCACGATGTGAGAAACAATTCATACACATATTGAGGGTGACGGGATAGATGCTAGCGAAAATGAAATTGTCTCGAGTTTGTGCTGGTCAGCAGTTTTGAAACATCTTACCCAAACGTTGTGGTGACATAACGTTTCCGTGACAACTTGGAACAGGGTACTTTGAGACGTCAGCAAACTGGTATCCAAGACTGGTCATTGTGAAGCGTCGATTCTGTAACCTTTTCATCCCCTTTTTTCACAAAATCATCCGTTACAAGACATACGTCTTCCACTTCGCTCTCCGCCAAACTGGTTAGTATGTCTAATTTTCATTTCAAGGCATCACTGACTTACATTTTCTTCACTAATGGCATTGCTCATGACTTCTATTACTCAATTCACGATGAATATGAGCCGAATGAACTCTTTTTTGATAGAAAAGGAAGATCTCAGCGCACGTTAGTTCTGGCGAAATCTGTAATTTTCACAGCTCTTGCACATAACGGGTTAACAGATGACAACTGACAGCTGGTCCAGTAGCTGCCGGATGAAACCAAGAAAGTGATACGAGTGCGACTCAATTCAGCTGCCAATGACTTTTTATGAACAAACAGCCCTTGCTCTTAAAACATCCATTAAATCCATCGAACGAAACTTCCTTTCAGGTCGTAATAATAATAATAATAATAATAATAATAATAATAATAATAATAATAATAATAATAATAATAAATAAAACGGATAGCCGACACACTGCGTGAAATATCACTCTTAGCCGAACCATCATCTAAATCAACGCACACCTTTAAAGTTCAACGAAAAATATTCAATGTTGAACAAAAATTCCAAATTGAAAATGACACAAGCAGGCTAATGGTAGCTCAGAAGCTAAAAGAGAAAATCCAATCATGGGCTCAACAAATTAGACGTTACAAACTTAGAATAGATTTCCGTGTGCAGAATCGGTTGTTAGGAACTGACGCGAAGAGATTCTATCACAATCAGACTCAACATCCGAGTGGCAATGCTGTCACACCTTCAAAAGAAGACGCCAAAGCATTTTGGACAGAAATCTGAGAGGAAAACATCCTACAAGAAAGACGCATCTTGGCATCTATCTGAAGTTGATGCTGCCGATGAACTTGTGGAAACAGTGGAACGTCTTCACGAATTCTCGGAAGAGGACCTCTTCCAAGCAATTAAGAACATGGAAAACTGGAAATCCCTCTGGATTGATAAGATCCAGAATTATTGGATTATGAAATTAACAGCAATACATTATCTAGCAAAGGCTGTTAATACAATTTTAGAAAACCCAAAGCAGCTCCCGAAATAGCTCACACATGGCGGCATCACATATTTGCTACCCAAAGCAGGAGACAGCTCTTTGGCGAAGAACTACAGGCCAATCACTTGTCTGGCAGTACTGTCCAAAGGTATAACTGCAGCCATAGCTGAGAAAATGTCCAGACATATAGAGAGGAACCATCAGTTGCCACTTCAACAAAAAGGATATCGAAAAGGTTCTTATGGTTGCAAGGAAATCTTGTTACTAAATAAAGTCATCTTGAATTATGTAAAGAAACGAAATCATAATTTAAGCATGGCTTGGATTGACTACCAGAAGGCATTTGACAGTGTACCACACAAATGGATTTTGAAGACTATGGAGATCTATCGATTTCATCCTAAACTTATTGGAATTTCAAGTCAAGTATTGAATTGTGAAGTAACAGGTTACTAATATACAGCGGAAAGGAAGCTGTAGAAAAAAGGAGTATTCAGATCAACAGGGGTATTTTTCAAGGAGATTCGCTATCCCCTCTGCTGTTTTGCATTAGTTTGATCTCACTGTCTAGACAGTAGTCGCACTTTGATTACAAGCTCCATGATGATGGAAGACCAGTACTTCATTTGTTTCATATGGATTATCTTGAAGTGATTGCTAAGAATGAAGCTATTCTCTTCCAAATGCTGTCTGTCATGAATGGCTTTAGCAATGACATCTGCATGAAGTTTGGTCATGCCAAGTGTACGAAAATCGATTTAAAGTGAGACAAACGGACGTCAGAGAGCATTGAAGTTGATATGCACACTGTGAATCAAGATCGTGAGCCAGATAAAACTTATAAGTATCTGAGCATTGAATAATGAGAGACCATCTCGAACGAGAATAGCATCCACACAGATTGTTTTTTGATGAGCCCGTTTAGAACTAAGACGTGTACTATGCATTAGCGAATACACTAAATCGAACGTATCGGCGTATCGAAATTTAGAGTTGAGGAAACATTACCTATTATTTTAAAGCTGCGGCGTCAAAGAATCGTATCGTTTACAATGATATCTTCCAAATCAATTCTTCAATACACCACCTACCTCCTATGGCCTTCATTACTTAATGCGTGGAAGTAACCAATAGAAAGTATTCCACAATACACTTACCATAATGTAATTCCAGTAACAGTGAAAGTTTATAACCAAATAATTTATAACCATATTCTTCTACCAAGTATTGTGTAACGTATAGGTACCACAAAATACGAAATATTTAATTCTAATCCACCTGATAATCTCTCTCTTTTTTTGTCTCATTTTTATATACGATTCTTGTAATACAATTTTTAGGACTCAAAACTCCCCAAAACTCCCCAATCTTCAAATACAATGTTAACTGAGCATTTTGTGGAATCTTAAAATAAAAAAAAAATTATTTTCAGTTTACAAACTATCCAGAAAATATTCTATAATGCCAAGTTGAAATAAAATAAGATTTAATATGATGAAATAGTTTTAGTTGCAGCAAAATAAATATTTAATTTGAAAATGAAATACCTATTATTATACGGTACACCTTTACAATTTTTTCTCAACTTTTTTATTCGCAATAGTTTAATCGGATACATTTCACTGATAAGGAACCTATCAAAAGGTTCAGGTTGAAAATCTGACCTGATCTTTTTTTACTGAAAGATATAGACTATTTATATGTGCTGGGAAAAATAGTGGAGCTAACTACGTATTTTCTCGTCCATACTTTTAAAATTATATATTAAATATTTCCAAAAATGGTACATTGATATCGAAAAACCGATTGACGGGAAAATGTCCGTCCGTCCGTCCGTCCGTCCGTCCGTCCGTCCGTCCGTGGTCAACGCTAGCAACTAAACCATTTAAGCGATTTTCTCCAAAATTGATATTCCTCAATCGATATGGTTGATATCGCGGTTCTTTGAATTTTAAACCGGAATTTTCATTTTAGGGGTACTTTACATGAAACGTATGGGATATTTTCAAAATTTCCAAAAAATGTTACTATCGTTTTTGATTAAATTCTTTTTGGCTACTGTGAAGAACGTGTAAGAGAACTGTGCAGATACCATGTTCGTTGAAAACTCAGATTTTTCGAAAATTGCAAAAGTTCATAATTTTGCTACGCCTTTCTACAACTACAATTATGATGGTAGAGATATTTTCCTTTAAAAAATCTGTTCTTAAGGACAACAACTGTTTCTATACAATAAGAGAATATATCATCCAAAATGAATATAATATTAGTTGTAACAATTACATTCAATGTATTGTACACCAATTGGACTGTATAATTGTAAAGAACTTGTAACAAGTATTGTACTTCAGCTTCTGGGTCAATGACCCCTATCTCGATCAGGTTTTCGTCCAATTTCCCTGATCCTCGAGGAAACGCTGAGATGTCTCCTTATTTTGCTTCTGAACATAAATGTAACTTCAATTTAACTTCTCCCTATAACTCTTTTTGACGTAAATATATTCATTTAGAAATTAAGTAATGTAAAATTTTTCGAAAATTTGAGGACTTTTTGCCTAGTTTTGCGTGAAAATACGGGTAAGAAGGGCAAAGTAGGTGCTGTTTTGCAAAGTACGTGCACATCTGGTTTTCTAAATTTAGCAACAGGATTTATCCACTTTTACGTCACCAGGGCCGTGTATCAAAGGTTTCCTGCCAAACATTTGACGTTTAATGGCGCAGCATTACATAAGTTTATCTCCGTATATTACTCAGCGTAAGAGTAATCGGGTAAGTAAAAATTAGCTGTGTTCGCGCTCTTGAAGTTACTAAAACTAGTGGTGCTACAACAGCACACACTATTTCGAAATTGTTTCTAAATTTGCCATTTTCGAAAATTAAGAGAGTTAAATTGCCTATATTCCGTGCCAAATTACACAAACACAAGCTAGGTTTTCACAAAAAATTGAACGTGAACTTATTAATAATTTAGTTTATTTATATCATAGTTTTAAGAAAAAGTCAAAAATGGACTTTTGCTGAAAACCCTGCGATTATAATGAACAAGTGTCCTACACTATTCTCTTAAGCATTCTTTACGCTTAAGAAAAAAAATTAAACATTTTTGTGTCATTTTGAAAAAAATTTGAAAAAGTTGAGTACAATCAAATATCAAAATATCCGCTTACAACTCCCAAAGTCTCGAGTTCATTCAGATCGATTGGGGAAGATTATATTTCTTTGTTTTCAGAGTTATTGTGAGACCCAAATGACACACTTTACGTTGACGCGCTTAATCAGATTCTGAAGCCAAAATTGCGCCAACACCTCTATTTTTTAAAAATCGCGAAAACCCACAGTGAAATTGTAAATTTTATTGTTTTTTCGCTATTTAAAAGGCACTGGAAAGTTTTGTAGCAATTGTGGTTTGGATTCGGATTCAGTGCTTTGACATACATAAAGAAACGTGTGTCAATTCACACGTCTGACAATAACTCCCCGAAAAAAATATCACGGTCTTTTTCGCAAATAAAGAGAAATCCGTACATCTGCTTGCCTGTCTGACCGTCTGTCCGTCCGTCTGAATGTCCGTTCACTTGCCTGTCCGTTCGCCCGACCCCCCAGCCTGTCTATCCGTAAGCCTCCCTCCTCATGTCGATCCGTGCATCTCCGCCCGCCCATCCGTCCATCGGTCCGTCCGCCTGCC